AGAAATGTTTGTGTGTCCCAGAAAGGTCTTAAGATACATGATGTTCAGTCAGACACAAAGTCAAGTCAAGTTTTGCTTTCCTTTATATGACATCATAAACATTATATTGATGACAGTGACTAGTTTGTGATTCAGTGAGTTACAAACTGAGATTATGAAGAACATGAAACCTTGTTCCACAGAAAACAGTGCAACCTAAGCAAAAAAATGACAGAGATGAGAGAGAAATATAAAAGAAACATTTGCCACACACCTTTGACGTATTACGTGTTTTCAATCAACAAACTATTGGATTGGATTTCTTCAATGTCATAAATGTGAAACGACTTAACATTATACTCTGGTTCACCATAGTATTCTGCTATGAAAACAGTCAAGATTCATCACGCAGCAGATTACATGACCTGAACACATCTCTGTGCAATTTAAGAACAAATTAAAAGGAACAACCTTTTCGCCCCCGTCCTTCCCCACCCCCAAATCTCACCACTTTTATCGAGTTCTCATTCGCACGCTCCCCTCATCACAATTTTGACACGCTTCGACAGACCCAGAGGCTGAGAAGTCACGGGTCCTTCTGTCGAAGGTGAAATGTGGCTGGGATGCTCCGCGGGGGACCGAGAGTGAGGGCGGACTGGCGGGGACTCGGATTGGGGGAAACGGTTTTGGAAGAGTGGGCAAAGGAGAAACAAGGGAAAACGCGCTCATGCGATATCAGTCCACTGGCCGCTTCTCGCTATGTTTCTTTGTAAACTCATCTGCGTTCTTAAAGAATTTTTTACGGTCTTTTGAATATTCCTCCGCCAGGTCGGCCCTCAGCGGGTGTTCTGGTTGGGGGTCGTTGACGAGGGCGATGAGAGACTGAATTACTGGTGAAAGAGGGGGGGGGAGGGGGGAACATATTTAATGCAGATATTATGGGTGTGAGGCGGATAAAATGGCTTAGTGATGTGCCATACCTTGGTCAGTTTTGGTTGCAGGTTTCCAGTTCTCAGCACTTATGACCGGCAGACACACTTGACCCTTCTCATCAATGTTCGGGTGGTAGATCTTGGTTTTAAATGTGATCTTGGGAGGTTTAAAGGGGTATTCTGCAGGGAATGTGATCTCAATCCGGAACGCACCTTTTTCGTATGGAGGGTTGTCCTGAAAAAGAAAGCGGAGCGCATTCGAAATGGTTCAAATTGAGAGATGATGGTGATATACAGTATTTATGCATGCAATTCATGCAAAAAAAACCACATTGGCATTCAATAAAAACTTACAGGAACAATGAGTCCTTGCCAGGTTAGAATGTTTGACTCATCCACCTGAATGCTGCGGAAATTTTTCATTCCAGACTTGCGAATTTCATCAAGTTCCTGTTAAACACAGTATATGAAGGTACAAAGAAACCTGATACTTCACGAATTGTTGAGAGATTTGAGAAACCACAAAGTGAGAACAAAATACTTTCGGTTTCATTGTGGTCATGTGAACAATCCTCATCTACAGTTAAAAAAACTATAGTTAAACTTACATTGTAACTCAAGCCATTTGTATTGAAATCTGTTAAAATGGCACAAATTCACGCAAAACACTGAATATACTGTTATTTTTATGCCTTGAACATTTAACAGGCTGCGAAGCCCAAGAGTTTGAAATATGAATGTAATCATTCAAAACTAAAAGAATGCACATATTTATAAAAAAAATACCATTAATCTTAAAAAGATTTGGTCAATTACAAATTATTTCAAGGAAGAAAACAGACATACTTCCTGTTTCTCTTTCTCATAGCATCATAAATTACACACTAAGAACACTTCAGAAAACTTCATCTGTTGTATTCAAGTAGTTAGTATTCATTATATTTCAATTGGATCACTATGTTTGGTTTGATCTTACTTGATAAACTTACAGATAAGGTAGTTTCTGTCTTATCTACTCTCATCCTCCGTCAACGACAACACTCTTTAACAGACGTGCAACAGTTTATTCTGAAGCACACCCTAAATTAGACTCACCCAGAACACTGATTATCATATATGAGCTTTATCTTTATTTATATTTCCATTAGAAGTGTAAATTCGAACTACGGCTAAGATCGTTAGCTTCTTCCTCATCATCCTCGCCACATATTTCACACCAGAGTGCTCTAAAGTTTCAGCTTTCCGCCCAACCGTGATTCAAGTTCACATTATTCCTGTTCACTGAGGTAAAGCGAGTAAAATATCTATTTAGTATGCATAAAAGCAGATTTTTCGGAATATTTACCTTGTGCAGTCGCCTGCTCGCCGCCATCTTGGATTTGCCTTTACCCACAATGCAAAGCGCGTTGAATTCCCTTCAGTCTCTTCAAATAAACGAATAAAAGTAATAAACGATCATTTGTGCATCGTGTGTGACAAATGCAGTGTTATTTTACCATCATTGGAATGCTATCATTTTAATTTTATAGTGTTCATTTTTTTAATAATTTTGTTGTGTTGTGTTGTATGGAGTATGTCTATATAGCTTTCATTCATTTTAATTTCAGTTTTAGTTATTATACTACATCAGTTTATTTTATTTTATTTCATTTAAAGTTTATACCTATTATTTCAGGCAACGAAAAAGTTATATTGTATGTAACATTAACACGCTTATATAAAACTAATTAAATTGTAACCACAATTAAGGAAGTAGCAGCAGATATTGCTGATGGCTAAAAAAATATATACATATATATATATATATATATATATATCCTATGTAAACAAGTAATTGTTAACTATGATGTTACTTTATTGCACCAACTTTGCATAGATGATAGCACAAAAGACCATGTCACAAAAATAAATATATAATAAGCAAGCAAACAAATAAATAAACCTTATGAGTGAGCATGACTCTACTAAAACAGTTCACACTTCAACCCCCCAGTGTCCAAACCAAAAGTACGCCTTCAGAGATACATATTCTTTACATAAAAAATACAAATATCTGCTTCAATATGAGAAAGTAAAACAAAACGAGTCCATTAGGGGGTGTAAGAGCACTTTATTAATGCTGCACAATCTGTCCCAAACACACTCTACATGTGACAGAATAATAATCACTCAACTGCTGATCAACTTAAGCCTGGTATTTTAGGCCACACGTGTCTGCTTATTGTAGTATATGTCATTAAATAAATGAAACATTTCCTAAACTGAAAGAAAAAATAGACAGTAAAGGGAATTTTTATCTTGGCATTTAATAAATACATCTTACATACATAGTTCCTTTTCTAAACGTTCTATAGTTCATCATGTTTAACATAGTTTCACTTCCACTGCTGTAACAACATGTTAACGAATTGTCAACGGACATTTCTTCACAAACCTGCTGTTCTTGTTGGTCTCTCAAAACAGCAGGGGCTCGAAAACCAGAAGTATTCAGCATGCAAAACAGTCTGGCCTCAGTCAGAGATTTAATATTAAGATAACGTTTGACTTAAACATGGAAAAAAACAACTATTCAAGCAAAATCAAACGCTTGTAAACATGGTTCGTTATTTTGTCAGTAAAATCTCTGTACAAGTGTCATTTGTATTAATAAGCGTTCTTGTGATTTAATTTCTAAACAAACATTTATTGTAGCCAAGATGAATCTAATAAATATATCAAGATGTCGGCCTACATATAGCCTCACGTTTCAGAAATTTGTGAAATTAGTAAAAACGTACACGTTGAAATCAGTCTTTAATATCAAAATTACATGTTTTTCCTTACAATAATGTCCCAAGGCATAAAAGACCCCGACAACATCAAGATGCACAGCTGACATATTATAGACTTTTTAGGCTACAATTGATATAAATGTATATGGCTAAAAAGCTAAGTGCTTAAAAAGACTTGTCAATATTTAGAAAATGCTATTGTATCTAACTGTACTGACACTATCAGATGATGAGAACACAAACACTTGAACTTGTTTGAGCTGAATAATGACACTATTGTCTTCCGCACAACTGTAATTGATTAACTTTGCATCATTAACAATTAGTTTATTACTGTAAAGCTGCTTTTAATACATCAGTAGGCTATTGTATAGAGCACTATAAATACATGTGGCTTGACTAAATGCACTGTAAAAGTATTTTTTTGATTAGTTTGTCTACTTCGCTTACTTCGATGTGTTACTTGTTTTTAGTGAAATTGACAGACAATTTCTGAGTGAAAACTGTTTCTATGCCAATGTATTTTTCGGTGTATTTGAGAGGCTGTTTTAATCACATTTCCCCCTCAAAATCAAAAGTACACTTCTACAAGTATTCAATGTATGTATATTTTAATATAAAAGCATGTATAATTAGCCTACTATACTAGAATTAGAAATGATAGCAACCCCTCTGAGCATGATGAAGATGCACAGTCTCACACACACACACACACATATATATATACACACACACACACACACACACATAAACATATACACACACATACATATATACACACACATACATACACATACACACACACACACACACACACATATATATATACACACACACACATACACACACATACATATATATACACACACATACACATATATATATACACACACACACATACACACACATACATATATACACACACATACACATACACACACATACACACACATACATATATACACACACATACACATATACACACACATACATATATACACACACATACATACACATACACACACACACACACACACACATATATATATACACACACACACATACACACACATACATATATATACACACACATACACATATATATATACACACACACACATACACACACATACATATATACACACACATACACATATACACACACATACATATATACACACACATACACATATACACACACATACATATATACACACACATACATACATACACATACACACACACACACACACACACATATATATACACACACACATATACACACCTATACATATATACACACACATTGGGTCAGGGGTGAGGATTTCTCACGTCACACAAGCTTGCAGGCAAGATGGCGCTCGGAAAGCTGTGAGATGTGAAAACAGAAGGGCTGTTTGAAGAGCTTCTCTCGATGCATCAAGGTACATATACTTTATTATTACACACGCGTTTGCTTTTGTGTTGCGAGGGGGAACGTGCGTGCGATGTAACGGGGGTTTGTGAGGGGGTTTCTTCTCTTGTTTTTGTTTTTGTAAAGAAACACTGATTCCTCCAACATACTGCTCTTATCGCGTGCCCACTGGGCTTTTAATGCGCACACACAGCGCGAGCGCAGCCTGGCAGGAGCAGATATGTGTGTTTTATCAAAAGCATTGTACCTGTTTCAGAGTGGCTTATGCAGTAATCAAATGCATTGTTTAAAACATGAAATACCTGTATACTGCATCTTTATACTTTACTAAAAATGATTAATCGCCAGCTTGATGGCAAACCTCGATCAGTGGCCCTTTATGTGGCCAGCATTCCTGTTTCACCTCTCTTTCAGAGTGTGTTTTACCTTTAACGTGTATAATGCTCATATTGAATATTTGTGCATGGCTTTGCATCGTTAATGCATGCATTAAACTATCGCGTTTAGCATTTATAATGCTCGTATATAATAATGTTTTGCATTGTTAATTCATGCATTAAGATGTCACACTGAAGATTTTCGGTTATCCGTGTTTGTTTCATTAAATGCACAAAAGCAAACCGCTATTTATGAGTGGAAAGCTGATTTATAGTGGTATCTGTTGAGTCTTGCTGTGCTCGTGCATTCGGATCATCATGACTAGGTTGTATTATGAAGCAACGTTGGATTATTCGTTTGTTTCTTTTGCAGTAATGAGACATACGAGTCATGCAAATATGAAGACAAGTAACTTTTTACCAAACGTTGTGGTTTTATGCTACAGTTTATATGGGAGAGAATATTTTAGGTGTTGTGACAGCTGTCAATGTAGTTTGGCATGCAATTAGATATTTTTCATTTCTTGTAATGTTTGTAGGTAGATCCCTCTTTATGAGGAAAAATATCCTTTGTTGTTTTGCATTATGAAGTGCATTTGAGGTTCTAAAGTGCTTTTGTGGTTTTAGTCATCATGGCTCTCATTGTTATTTAAATGATGCATAAATGTTATATAATTTAATTTTACTTCTATATCTTGAGGAGAGCTTGAAGGACCCTTTTAATCTCATCTGTTTTAATGGGCTGGGGGAGGGGGCTTATTTTACAGTGGTTGGTGGGTTTAGATCAGTGCCACACCATTAAAGTAACTCCCTTTCTAGGTGATAGTTTGCTTGAATGAGACGTAGAATTACTTTTAACCAAAGATATGGCCATTTTGTGTAAGGAAAGCCTGTTGGGAGCCTTGTGCATGCTGTCGTGATGAATGTTTTGAAGGTAAGCAAACCTGCAGATGCACGCTTTGCCGCTGATGTTTAGGTCCATGGTCCAGTGAAGCTTATCTTCCAACTGTAGAGTTTGCTTCTGGATGAGCTCGGGCTGGCCTTGTCGTAATTGTTTTGTTGTCCTTTACAAAGGTCAGAGAAAACGAGAATAAAAGATGTGTTTAAGAGATGTAGAGGCATTCATGTTAAGATCTAATCAATACTCTTATGAAAGGCAGCTCTGGGTTTCTGCTTTGAATAATGCAGATGATCAGATCTATTGAGTGAGCGGGATGGGAACGGGGCTTGAAGACAGTTTATTTAGAGTCATTATCATTGAGAAGATCGTTATGAATTGTGTTGTGGGTTTGCATTTAGACTGAAATCTTATTTCACACCCAGCTGAGTATTTGTTTCCCTTTAAGAGAAGCACAATCTTTTCCTCCTATTCTTTGTGAAGTTTACGATGTTTTTGACAGCTTTATCTGTTCATCTAGTCATGCCACCTGTACTAGTCTGGTCTGGTTGGGTAATAATGATGGTTTTACTTATTTTTGTTTAAAATGCCCCTTATGTTTTATTACAGGAAAATGGCTATAAACCTTGTTTGAAATTATTTAACTTGCGTCTATTTCTGTTCTTCACCAGAATATAGGTTACCCTGTATTTATTTGTTTAGTTTAGATGTGTATGCGTACATGTCGGAATGCATGCATTGTGTGCATGTTGCTTTAAGGCATCACCCCATGTCTGAAATCTTGTCTAACATGCTTGGCATGTTTATTGACTAGATCCTTTTAACCACTTCTTGGGCAAAACAGACATTACATGATTGTGTTGGGATGTTGACGAATACAATGTGATTTATCTGTTGAGGGTTGTTCCAGGGTTGCTCAATCTGGTTGAGTGGTTGTTTTTGTGCCAGATTCCCTAATTCTTGATTTCCGTTAGGCCTACATTTTAAGCATTTTATGTGATCTTTGGTTTCAGTGATTTTGTTTTTAATTAAAAGTGTGGCATGCATAGAAGTGCATTTGAAACATGTGTGTAACAATTAGGTCTTTTGATGTCTTCTGACAATTTTTAGGTGTTATGAGTCTGATTTCTTAGGTATTCTGCAACTTTTAGCCCAGCCCACATATGACATGCACGTGAACCCAGATGCACTTTTAGTTTATCTGCAAAATACAGCAGTGCATGCCTGGACAAATGCAAGAAATGTCCTGCTGCTTTCAAACAGTATGACAGCATTTGAAATGATCAATAGTGTAATCATAGTGCAAGTTGACTTTTTGTCAGAATTTATTTAATGCATGATTGTGCATGGTTCAGTGCTTCATTTTATTCCAAATAAAAATCTTAGCATACACTGTACTTTTTTTTATTGTTGTTGAACATTCATTTTCTGATGTGTCAGATTACAGATTTAATGGTTGAATACCGATAGAAGCTAGTCTGGTTTGTGCAGTTGTTTTGTCATCATCGGTAAGAAGATTTCATGTCTATTTTTGGGCTGGAAATAAAATCCCATCCTTCATTTAGCACAAATAGGGCATAACATTGAATGAAAAGCACACGGGCAGTGGACGAAGGCCTTGAATTCTTCAGATAAGTGATATTTTGTTATCTCTTAGTTGAGATCGTTCATCAGATTGTTTGGATCAGGTTTGCTTGGCTTCCAAGTTTTCTTGGATCTCTTGAGGCTGGTGGTTACAGTAGCACTTAGACCTTAATGTCTCTGGGCACAATCTATATAAGTGTCTATTATCAAGTTAACCTGCCTGATGTTATTAAAACCCAATTTGCAGCAGTGTTTTTGGAAATTTTAGTCCCCTTAAATCTTCACTGAAAAATTCAGGCACTTTAAAAATGTAAAGTGTTTATGGTTGTCATTTTTTGTTCTTAATTTGCTGCAGGGTAGGCTAGATATTACATGTTGATGCGTCTCATGAATAATGTTTTGTTTAGCCAATGCCCTCTTTCATAAGAGTAAAAGTACTCTGTGTTTTAAGACAATAAAATCAGGGCCCCAGGGGTCCGTGCCACCGGATAAGCTTGTTTATGAGGTTAAGCGCAGTCCTTGCCAGACTTGTTTACCTGTGTTGTTACTGGCTGCTTTTGCACTTTGACTTTTTTTCCAGACGACAGTCTCTCTGATTAGAGCAGTTGTTTCATCTCTGGGACAGGACTGCTGTTTTTGTGGAGGGAATGGAATGTCGGAAGAGCAGTTGAAAGACCAGCAGCATCTTATCAAGACTTGTGTGCAACTTCTAGATAAATGCGTTTCTTAAATGTGTTTTGTTTTTTGAGCAGTGGGTTTTTGGTGCTATCAAAGTTTGCCCAGTTCTGCTTTGCAGTTCTTTGACTGTACTCCTGTGCTTGAGGCCTATAAATACCCTGAGAGATGGTATCATGCGATAGGGTTTAGTTTTAGTGCTGGGCATACTGGTTTTTATGAGACGAGTAAATGGAGAAGATTTCAGGGTTCAGACTTGTATAGGTTGTGAACATGAATGTTATTAAAATAATCAGCCTTTTTTCCTTTATAATGAAGGATGAAATGGCTAAAAATTAAACTACTAGTTGTTTATTTTTATTTTTTTGCATTAACCAATCTTTAATCCGTGTTTTTATTTTTTAGTATTGCATTTTATTTTGCCTTTTTAATGTACCACATTGGTGGGACTTAAATATCTTGTGAAATACATTACATATTTTTTTCACACCTTCCTGAGTCATCATTAGTCTGCTTTTAAGCAGTCTTAAACTGAAAATTCTGCTGACTGATTGGTTTCCTGTCCCCATTATTGGTTTTGGCTCAGTTGTACATTGCCATCATGAATTAGCTATAAATGGTTAATCTGAGATAGATAGACTGACTTGGAACCACTGATAAATATTCAGCATGGTACATAAACAGATCTGTAGTCACCTTAAATCTGTTTTTTAGGCTTATTTTAAGCGTGGTATTTATGGATTTTGTTGAGTCTAATATGCAAGAGTAAGCTTTTACAATAATCCAGTACAAAAAAATTATAGTATTCAATTGGGTGTTCCACAGGGACGGGTACTACACCCATGCTAATTTGTGTTGTTAATTGTTAATAAACAAGGCATTGAATAATCACAACGCTGTAAATGTGAAAATGCCTGGGCATTGTGCAAAGGTAAATCCCTGTTTTTCCCATTGACACGCCAATCTTGACTGGTCTAAATGGCAGAAACCTTGTTTGCCGCATTACAAAGATTCTGCTGCAAGCCGTGGCCTGTTCATCCTGTGGAAATGGTGCTGGTTTACCTGTTTCCCACCACACCCTTGGTGATATCCCAGCTCAGGTTTCAAGCTGTCTGTCACACAAGCTAGTCGGTGATGTCCACTAGCCTTTTTCACCCAACCCCCATATGTCAACAAAGGGACTGGCCCTGGAGGCTGGCATTAATGACTGCTGGCAGGAACGTTAAGCCTTAGTGGACGCCCTCAGAAAAAAATAAATTGTGTTACTGTTCAAGCCTTTTATCCCTTCTCTGCTTTTAGCCAAAAGTTGAGAATTTGTACACACTTGACGAATAAGATGCCAGCTTATGCATACTATGAGAAGGACTTTTTCCACAAGTGTTCTCTGGCAGAAGAAACAAAAGTTTCCGTAGTCTTGATTTGTTTAAATTCAGAGTGCAGAATTTCGTAAGAGTTTATGTGGATTTGCTTGAGAATAAGAGTTTTGTGGTTTTCAGTTCATGCCTGTTAGCTTTGAGCTCATCTATATGCTATGTGTTCCAAAACATTGACAGTTCACTTTTAGCAGCTTTGCACATTTAATGTTTACACTCATTCTTTGTTAGTAAAATGTGACTGATGTAGCATTGCACAGGGTTTTGTCCAATTAGATGCACTCTAAAACAGGAATGACCCTCCCCCTGTGATTGGCCAGTAAGTAGCAATAGCTGTGTTGTAACTATTGCCTGTTTAAAAATAAGGATTGGGTGCTTCAATATGCCACACCCAACTGTGAATACAAAAAAGGTAACTTGGTGTGAACTTTCAAGTCAGTGTTTGATGTAGGACATAAAACTATATGGATTTGTTTCCATTACAATGCATAACAGTGTTTTGTCTCTTTTAGGTTTCATAGGTGAAGAAAAAGAAGTTGGAAATGGAATTGCCAAATCATGCCAAACAATTGCTGCTGCAGCTAAACCAACAAAGAGCCAAAGGTTATCTGTGTGATGTGATCATAGTAGTAGAAAATGCCCTTTTTCGGGCCCACAAGAACATCCTGGCAGCCAGCAGCATCTATTTCAAATCCCTTATCCTTCATGACAACTTGATTAACCTCGACACGGACATGGTCAACCCGTCGGTTTTCCGGCAGGTTCTGGACTTCATTTATACTGGCAAGCTTTTGTCGTCTGATCAGTTCAGTGACCACAATTTCAATGCCCTTCTAACGGCAGCAAGCTACCTCCAACTTCATGACCTGGCTGCTCTCTGCAGGAAGAAGCTCAAGCGTAATGGGAGATCCCTTCTTAATAAACCAACCACACCTACCAATGGAAGAACGTCTAGGAACCAAAGGCTGTCCTCTACACCTGTAACTCCAAACCAAATGTCAGGGTTAAAAGACAGTGAGAAGACAAAGAGGCATGAGGAGCTACTCAAAGACGACTTGTCTGAGGACGAGATGTTTGTGAGAAACACCCACTGTGCAACCTCAGCAAATTCGCTCAGTCCCTCAACGAGTAAGAATGGAAGCAATGGCAGTTGTGGCATGCAGGAACTTGGCCTAGACCTTTCCAAGAAAAGCCCCTCAGGGAGCACAGCCACTGAAGAAGTAAGTCCCAGCAGCATCCCACAAGGATCACCTCAGTCTGCCTCAGAATCCACAGCCAACAGTGCCTCATTTGATGATAACACCAACACGCAGAACCGCACCGCTGGAGAGCCCATGGAGCTGGGTGGAGGAGAATGTGAAGAAAGCCAACGGCCTTCGGACGTCGAACAGCATAAAAGTTCCCGGCAGGTCACCCGGCAGAGGCGGAAGCCCAAGAGTAAAGGCAACAAGGGCGAAGATGCAGAACGAGAAACTTTACCCAACGGAGTGGCCAAAAGATTGAACGTGGCTGGGGAGAGGCTCCCTGGTGGAGGAAATGGCAATTCTGAAGTATCCTTCCAGTGTAAAGATGATGAGGAAGGTTTAGAGAATGGACAGGAGCAAAGTGAAGAGAGTGGACAGAGTGAGAGTGAAGGTGGGCGCAATAGCGCCAATTACGTCTACCGCCAAGAAGGCTTTGAGCCTGCCCTTGGTGACAACCTTTATGTTTGCATCCCCTGTGGTAAAGGCTTCCCGAGCTCCGAGGAACTGAATGCCCACGTGGAGACCCACACAGAGGAAGAGTTGTACATCAAAGAGGAGGATGATGATTCCTATCCAAAGGAAGATGAAGTAGAAGCGGAAGACTTGTCTTCACAAATAACCCATGTCCATGGCACCGAGTCGCGTCGCTTCAGCTGCTCGGTCTGCAACAAGAGCTACAAAGATCCGGCCACTCTTCGACAACATGAGAAGACCCACTGGCTCACCCGTCCCTTCCCCTGCAACATCTGCGGCAAGATGTTCACCCAACGCGGCACCATGACCCGCCACATGCGCAGCCACCTGGGGCTGAAGCCATTCGCCTGCGAGGAGTGCGGCATGCGCTTTACCCGCCAGTACCGGCTCACGGAGCACATGCGGGTTCACTCAGGTGAGAAGCCGTACGAATGTCAGCTATGTGGGGGAAAATTTACCCAGCAGCGTAACCTCATTAGCCACCTACGAATGCATACCTCCCCGTCATAAGCCAAAGACACCTTGAACAGGAGACCCTCAGCAAAAAGAGTCACTGCACACCTCTTCCTTTTGAAGTACACTGCAAGGAGCTGATAACCCAAAGCAGGATTCTCTTCTGCTGTTAATTACAGGAGGAGCCTTTCATACAATGAGCCCCAACAATGGAAAGAATAAACCAATCGGTATGAGTTTATGGGCATATGATTTTTATTTTTTTGAATTTTGCTGTGAATGTAAAATAGGGGTACTAATGCTGTTGTATGATTCCTTGGGATATTGTGACCACTCTCAACCACTGCAATCCATGCATTGCTTTCACAAGTCCATGTGGTCTGTCTGATTGTTTAGGGTTTTGGGTGTCCCAGAAATATTCCTTCTTTCCATTCTTGGTCCTTGATAATTTATCACTCTCGAGAGTTCTGGTGGTATATTTTATGTAAAACTCTCAGCAAGGTTTGAGCTTGTACTGACCAATTTATTCTATACACAAAGGTTCTAATTCTTTGAAGTGTCTCCTAAGGATCTCAAAGATGGTGTTTTCAGACATGCAAGATGTCTTGTCTGTCATCATGTAAGTGTTGTTTCATAAAAGCTTTGTGCAGCCAACCAAACATTTCCCAGTATACCTACTCTGCACATCACATCCATTGGCTTAATTCTAGGTGTAGCTGGAAAACAGGGTCTTTGTAAGTTTTGTACTGTGGTTGATGATTCGTTGATCAGATTTAGCATGGATATACCCTAATGTACCCTGCTCCTACATCTAGATGCAAGCCAATGGCAAAGTGGTGACGAGAGGCCATGGGTGTCTTTTTTGTCGATTACTCACATAGTATATTGGGGTTTACTCTCAAAGAAAAGCCAAACTTAAAGGTACTTGTTTTTAGATTTCTTTAGATAACTTATTGGTATGCTTCTGTGAATGTTTTAACTTGAAGTTCTTTCCTTTATTTCTTTAGGATCAGAGAGGGTTGGGTTGATTTGGGTGATGGGTTGGGCAGGGTTCATTTGAGTGATATTGAACTTCAGAAATTCTGTCTGTACTGTTATTTTTCACTTTTTTGATTACATATTTTCCCTTCACTGAACAAGGCGAGTCCATAAGGTCTCGTCTCATTGCTACCTCTTAATTAAGAACAATACATTAATTGGAACTATGGAGGTCTCTGAATATAGATGTATAAAGTTTGCTGAGGCTTTCAAAGTAGTTGTAACCTGCCCATCAACAAAGGTTTTAAGTTTTAAAAGCATTAATGTAGAGAATAGCTTCTTTGGGCGCATGTATTTAAGGTATTGAGCGTTTTATGTCAGAGAAATCCAAAGAGAAATGTAATACTGAGGAGAATGGCTTACCAACAAACGTTTCCTGTAGAATATCCCTACCAAAGTTTTTAGATTGCATTGCAGGAGGTAAGGATGTACTTTTGTCTTTTAGTTCTTGACGAAGAGCAATGTAGTGGGATGTTAGTTTGTACTTGACATTTTACTAAAAACCAATGAACTTCTGGTGGTTGGTGGGCCGCTGGCTTTCCATTTTTTTTCTGAAGTTTACAGTAGTTTTTCAAGAGTGTCTTTTGGATTCTTACTTTGTCTGCAGAGAGACTTTGAAGAACTTCAGAAGGACTCATTTATTTTAGTTCAGACCAAGAGAAAACCGTATAGCAATTGTCGTAGGTTCTTGTGTTACATGTTGACCACACTTGGAAAGCTTACTGAATAAGGAGGAATTGATGCACTGGATTGCTTATTAGCCATCAGCCCCAAATAAAACCTTGTTCTAAAACCATGCTAAATTACATGGCGTCAAGTAAAAACCATTATCATTTACTCATTCGAGGTATTATGTAAAGTATGCATGTTGAAAAGAATGTAAGGTTATTCAAAATGCTGGTAATTGTGTTGGGTGAATGTTACATGATCAGTGTTGGGTAGACGCTGATGGATATATTTATAGTTCAGTGCTGAATTCTTTGCTGCCATCTTCATTTCATAACTCAGTTACGGATGAATTATTTCGCCAATCCCAGTGTATCACATTCCATGAGTAATTTTTACCTTGCGTGATGTTACAACAGAAATCCTGTCATTCATTCAGCACATATCATGGCCATACGCGCAATTCGCAGTGCTCCGGTGAAATGCTATAGTAATACTATAAATCTGCGTAAGCATTTGATATCACGCATAAGGCGCCATGATTTCAGCAATGAATGAATGGCGGATGGTGCGGCGCACTGTTTTGTTTACACATACTAAAGCATGGATGATGCTCACGGTGTTTTCAGCTTCTGCCGTTTCATTATATGAACACGAATGTCATCTCCAGCTGCTCTGAGAGTCACTTCATTAGCATTTACCGTTTCGAAATCTACCGTCATATCACATACACAGCAGCTGCAAGTTCTTCACGGCAACCCGTCAAAATAAAAGTTTAGTTTAACGTTCTACTGTCAGAATATATTACTCATTCATTCAGCAGATATCATGGCCATACGCGCAATTCGCAGTGCTCCGGTGAAATGCTATAGTAATACTATAAATCTGCGTAAGCATTTGATATCACGCATAAGGCGCCATGATTTCAGCAATGAATGAATGGCAGATGGTGCGGCGCACTGTTTTGTTTACACATACTAAAGCATGGATGACGCTCACGGTGTTTTCAGCTTCTGCCGTTTCATTATATGAACACGAATGTCATCTCCAGCTGCTCTGAGAGTCACTTCATTAGCATTTACCGTTTCGAAATCTACCGTCATATCACATACACAGCAGCTGCAAGTTCTTCACGGCAACCCGTCAAAATAAAAGTTTAGTTTAACGTTCTACTGTCAGAATATATTACTATTTAGCAGTCTTAAGACTCAATGCTACTACTGCTTATAAATATTAATAAATCTTTATTTTTAAAAGGAATAATCACATCTGTTTTGTTTTTAATTTTAACAGTAAACCTCTGTTGTGCAGCATTTGTTTGCCAAAAAATAAAAGGGTTTAATTTTCACTTGATTAGGATAAATTAATGTTTTATGCCTTCATCTGATTACCAGAAAAATTAAGAACATTTTATAGGGCCCTATTATTGTTTAAAAAAGGACCCTATACAAAAAAAAAAGAATAGGTTTAAAATACAGGCATGTGGTTATTAATTTATTTTTATTAATTCACCATTTGTAAACTGATGTTTACAGTTAATTTTTTTGAAATATCAATAGCATTTGTATTAAAACTATATTCACTGAATGTAATCAAAAAAATTGAGAATCGAATCGAATCGAGAGCTTGCGAATTGAAATCAAATCGGGACATCTGAATCGATACCCAGCCCTAAACATCAGTCGAGTGTTTGAAATAAATCCTTCTGTGAGATGATGTGGCTTCTTACACAGAATAAGGCACGCAACATATTTCATAGTATTTAAGCAGTGATAAAGGCATTGCATTATACTTTATTTTAATGAAAATATAATAATAATAATAATAATAATAACTCGGATAAACCGTATATTGCCGGAGTCGTGTGTTTATTAGTCACGTTGAATCAATGAAAGCAGTTGAAGCTTCTGTTTATTCAGCTGCAGCGATTTTCTGGGTTTCTTCTGCGAGGCGTAGGCTATTTGGAGTTTCAGTGCGAGAGCGCCCTCTAGCCTTTGGATGGAGATTTACTGCTGATCACAGAACCGTGCTTCACTGAAAGATACGCATGACAATCGCAGCTTCTGTCGAATCGCGATCTCGATTCCATTTCGATTTATCGTGCAGCTCTAATTCTTAGCCTTCTTAATGTAAAAGTCTTAATGGCATTCCTTTTTTTTGGGGATATTTTTTCTGGTTCTTTCTCCAAAGTCTTGTGTTTGGGCTTGCTAATGATGAACTTTGGGGTGCAGCTATAGTCGTGTTAACGGAGTAGTGTTTTCAGACGCCTTTTTCCTGGAATTCTTTCGGTCTTTAATGTGCCTGCTCAAACTTAGTTTTTTCATTGATTTTTAAAGTCGTCTGCATCAGTTATTCAAGTCAGTATACTGAAGACGTGTGCAACTCATTCTATTTACACACAGTATTCATGGGATTTCAGCATAGCACCAAAGCTAACCAAAATAGCCAGTTATATTTAACTTTAACCCAATGCAAGTCACCAAAATGTCTTATTTTCTAAGTTGTGCACATCTTGGATGTTAGATTTAGTTTTTTTACAGTATAAGTGCGCTCTGGCGTTGATACACACCTCAAATCAGGGAGAGTTTTTAAATATTTTTTGTTGTCAAACGTACTGAACAGGACTCCAGGAAAAGGTTCCCATTGATATCTTGCTAATTTACAAGCACTTAATTTGAATACCATCAAAAAATGATGTCTTGGGTGAGACGAGGCTCTGTTGTTGATTCCAGCATTTGAGACTATAGCTGAGAGAACCGGGAGAGCGGAAAAATGGATGACAAAGTTTCAAACTGTGACAATAATGTTTCTACTTCAAAGCTTCAGGGATAGTTCTGCATATTTTGAAATGCGGAGCTTTCGACTACATTTGTAAGGCTGTGTCAATACTGTGTCAATTTCTGTATTTTATCGATGAAAAGCAAAACACTAGTTTCCTACGAAATAGATTTTACGAGCGATGTTCCCATTTCAAAACGCCTTCAAAAAAACAAAAATAAACGAAGCTAGAGATGTACATGGAAGAATTTCTTTTAAGTTCTAGAGTGTTTATGAACAAAAAAATAAAAAAGAACAAGCATTCTAGTAAGCGCAAAATGTATAAACGAATAAGATGAAAGCTCATACCCAAATTTTCAGACTATTTTCTAAACCAAAGCACATTTTGAATGATTGATTGATTGATTGATTGATTGACAGCTTGTCTGACATTTAAAGATACTTGTGTATAAAATCTCATTGTTTACATAAACTCTTTACAGTCATAGACCTCAGGTGAGGAGAGGCCAGTTTGCACCTGCTTCTGTGTAGGTCACCGTCTTTAAACGAATCGTAACCGTGTGTCTTACCCTGTGAACGTAGCCGCATGCTTTTGATTTGGATGGGCTGCTACTTTTATTGATCTGCGATTGGCCCTTTAAGATGTTCCGAGACTTCCCTTCTGAAAATCATGTTGTTGACATCATTATTTTTATGAATCTGCTGCTTTTCTTTTTTCGTTTTTTAAAAATGTAAATACGCATGAATAAAACTACATACACATTTACCTCAAAGTAACTTTTTAGAAATTGCTGCATATATATATATATATAAATATAAATAAATATATTTTATTTTTTTATTTTTTGCATCATCTCTCTCTTAGTTTATTTTAGTTTTTAAAAAATGTGTTGTATGTATTCTGACCTCAAAGTAACTTTTTAGAAATTGCTGCATATATATATATATATATAAATATAAATAAATATATTTTATTTTTTAATTTTTTGCATCATCTCTCTCTTAGTTTATTTTAGTTTTTAAAAAATGTGTTGTATGTATTCTGAGCTGCCTGTTTTTTTTTTGTCTGCAAAAGAAGCAACTTAAGAACCGACTGGCCTCTCCTCCGTCTACATTGGTGCAAACACTTACTGACAGTGTTCACTTTTTTTTATCAAATGTCTATTGTCAGTGATGAATGTATTTATTTGTTTGATCCTGTTTTCACTTTTTAAGTGTTCACTTTGGGTGAGACGTCATGTCTTCAGGGTCTGATGTATTCTGTTGTAGTAAGCTGAGAGATAGATTTAAAAAAATGACACAAGACATAGATCATTTTCAAACCTGTGAAGACGTAGACATGAGGAATGTATTTCTCCATGTAGTGTCCATCATAAAGGATGTATCCCATATCGTTTTTGTAATCTTATCTCACTCAACGCATGCATGTGCTCTGGATCATGTGTTTCCTGTCACGGACACTTGAAGGCTGTTTGTCGATTTTGAAATGTTCTCTGTCTGTACGCCTCTGCCCGCCGATACAGGAAGGGACCTTTTAGAATTGTGTCAAAGGCATTCAAGGTTGTGTTTTCTGTACTGAAAGCTGCCGTGTTGTTGCACGCTGCGATTCAAGGCTGCCGGTCGATTCGGTTTTTTTTCTCTAAAAGGAGTTTTATTTGCAAATGCCCAACAGAGCCAAAGGTTTTTCCTAAGAAACACTCACATCTCCTCATTTTTTCATTGTAGGATCACATCTTTTTAAGCTTTATAAAATGCACTTTCTAAGTTCTCACTGAGGTCCTTTACGCAGGACCTCCTTTACATCTTATCAGTTATTTACAGATTTACTTGAGTTCTGAAGCTTTAAGTAAATGCAAAGATTAAAACTCACACTTGTTTGCTGCTAATGTGTAGTTTTGTCCGATTCTACATATCACGGATAGTATTATATGTTGTTTTGTTCGAACGTTGCCTCTTGTCAACATAACTGGTAAGTGTTAAGGACCTCAAGTTACCAAACCAACCCAAACTAACTAAACCAAAGCCAGATTTACAAGCACGTGCATAGCAGGTGGGCATGTTTCCCATATGTTTTTAGTTAAACGCCATATTGCATTGCTAGCCTGTCCACCATACGCGTTCTAATTTAGCATTCCAATAACTTTACATGCTGATTAATATTTATTTTCATTCTGAATGAGAGCAGGACGTCAGACTAGAGAGACATTTGGAGGAAAACAGACATCGTCACCAGTAGGAGCATTAGTTTAGCACACTTGTGAATGAAGACAAGTTGCTCTTGACGAATGTTAGTTGGAATTACTGTCATGTCTTTGGTCAGCCTTGAACACGTTGCGTGGACAACACGGCGGTTTCGCGTTCCTCAGAGAGCTTGTATTCAGGTCAGGGCTACATGCAGCATGCAGCTCGCATTCTGTCTCATGTGAATAAAACACAGTGTACAGAGCTCATCTCACGTTCACAGTCTTAATGTACAGCTACGAGAAGTCATTTTAGAATCTTTTCATTAAAATCTTGATCAAATAAACACTGGGTTCTCTGTGTCCTTGTGTGTTTGAGTTCCTTCGTGGTCTTTTGCTTTTATGACTTACAGTGGAAGTAAATGTGGTAATGC